TCTCAAGTTAAAGTTGATTTCATGTAATCGAATGAACTATTTTATAAGTAAAGTCCTCACAGGAGCGCAACTCAACAATATTGGCAATATCATTTTAAAGTCGTCTACTTTAAAATGCATAATGTATGTCTGAATTGTCAATATAAATGAGTCAGATAAAATTAAATTATTAGAAGAATTTTTCACTATGTAACAAAAAACAAAATTTGTTTAATTTACTGTTTGTATTTTGAGAACGATTTCCGAAGTGGAAATTGAAACGCCAATAAACGTATTTTTATCTTTAATTGTGGCTTATTCCCAGTTAAATAGTAATTAAAATAAAAGAGATTAGTGAAATATTATGCGATCAAACATTAAGGAATAAGAAAGAAATGTTTTTGTATGATTTAAGGACGGTAAGAATTGTTGATTGGTAGAAAAGAGCTAGCTGGAGAAATTGGATCAAGCAGATAACACAAAAAAAAAGAAAATTTTTAAATGATGCTAGTAATAGCATCATTTAATTTTTTTTTATTTCAACTCATTCTAAGATATCGTTTTGAATAAGTACTAGTAATAATACTTAACTGTCTAATGGCTATACAGTGTCATTAAACAAATTAGTCCATTTAGATCGATTAAACAGAAACATTGACTAAAAGATACAAAATATAATGCTAGTCTTTGAAACCAATCGTTGAATGATTGGCTAGATTATCATGGTTACACTAAAAAGAGTTTGTATAATACCTCAATTAATTTCTATATGTTCGATGTGGTTTACTTTGATGCCTTTCTATGACTTTCAAACTAAAGAAGTCGTTTATTTCAAACTATATAGACTTTATTCGGTATTTTTTATGTTAACCATGTTGATCATTTCAGTGTGGTCCAATATTTATAGACACAAAAGATTTTTAGATTTATTGCACTCAAAGGACCAGTCTTTTTTAGATTACGCCATAGAATTCATAGGTGTAGGAGGAATACTAATAACAAGTATTTCCTCTTCGTTCTGGAAAACCACAACTTGGTGCAATTTACTGAGGAAAGTAGCAAAGATAGAAGAAGAGAATGCTAAAAAGAGTAACACTGGATACGATAATATAGTATTTGTTATTTGTTGTCTGTTTCTCCTCTTGGTTACGTCTGTATTTTGGATAAAATTTGGAATAATCGCTTTATACTATCTAAGTTATAATGGAATATACTTTAATCAGTTCTTGCTGGCTATGGATATATACCATATTGTAAAAACTATAAAGAATCGTTACATCGAACTGAATTTTACTCTGAAAGGTTTAAAGAGAATAAAGAATATCAAAGTTATATTGGAAACTATGGAAAAGGTGGAAATAGTGTACATAGAATTATACGATGTTATTACAATGTTTAACACGATTTTTGGTTGGCCCATCTTAGCTTTAATGTTTAGTTTTGGATTGATGCTAATGAGTTGTATTCTTTTTGCGACTGCTGTGACTGGAGAATTGGCTGTTTGCTATATTTTACTTTCTATTATTACATTTGTAAGTATGTATAAGAATATTTCTAACTTATAACGATAAAATTCCTAGTATTAACTATTACATAACTCTGCCTGAGGGTATAACCCACCTACATAACTCCTGGAGGTTATGAGAGCGAGGACTGGGTGGATTAAGTAGCTCAGAAGCCGCGTTCATGCCCACAGCCGTAAAGAAAGAAGAACGAGCACGAGCAGGTGTAGGTATACTTGTCCATAAAAAATTTAAAGACAACATAAATAAGTGCCGTTATATCTCCGAAAGAATAATACAGATGAACATCATAATGGACTAACAAAAATTAAATGTCGTATCTATCTATAACCCCGAGAATTAGAAATAAAACGAAATAAGTCACCAAATGGACGAAGAAGTATTGTCAGACCAAGAATGACCTTGAAAAAGATGTTACGATAATTTAAACAATTTAGGAGGTTAATATTGACTAAGAAACAGGTTTTAAAGCCTACATACAAAGAAGAAGAAGAAGTATTGCATATTAATTGGTTAGGCACAATTATAAGTGACTCAAAAACATCATAAGGTCCAAATAGCTGAGAGTGTCTGTATATTTCGGTAAAATTGCAATACCTTCTTAGGTGATGGTTAAATGTATGTAGGGAATAAAAGAGATGGCAGCATTTGTATGAATGGGTTTGGGAAATGGGGTTTTTGTTAGTGATGTCAATTAAATGTGAATGTACATGAGGAGAAATATATCGAAGAATATGCAGTGCTAGGCAAAAGTCCGTTCCTCCCCTCGTGACGTAGGGGCAAACTAAAAACAACTAGAAGATTTGACAAACATCAACTTTTTTGACAAAATAACCAAAGGCGGACATTAGAATTTTTATTAATTAAATACCAAACTTGAATTTTAGCATTTATTTAATTTATTCATCAAAATGAGATTAAACTTAAACAAAATTATTATGACCGAATAGGTATCAAAACGAGGTATCACTTGCCATAAAGTCCCATTTAAAATTATCTGTCACAGTGGCGCTGTAACGTCACTTGTCACTATGACGTCACCTGTTATGACTAATTCAGAAGTCTACGTCCCCTTCTCCTCCAAATTTCACTATTATAACAATAACCGTTCAAAAGATACGAGTGGGGGAACGGACTTTTGACTAGAACTGTATAAAAAATATGTGCAACTTATGCAAAAATGAAAGAAACATTAAAACTAAGCCCAAATGTAGGAATTAGATTTACAAATAAGTTAAAATAAACTTTTTAAAATACACCAGATACAAAAGTTTTTTCTTTGTTGAAATGCAGGACTAGTGCAATAAGATAATTACTATTTGATTAATTAGCAGTTTTACGACCAGTTTCACAATCAGTGGTTAACCTTAGGAGTTAAGTAACCTTTACGCCTAGTATAACTGACAGATGACGTTTCATATTCACAAATTTGATTATGGTCGCTTAACCTTAGATGTCGTTTTATTTTTCTTATGTTGGTAGGAAATTATGGGCAATATCAGATTTTTATGGAATATTGTCAGTAAATATTATGAATATTGACCAGTATAGATGAGTTATGACACATTTGTCACGTTAGATCGAAAACAATATACAAATATTATTCTCATTGTCAAGTTCTGTTCTTCTTTCAAGTTAAAATTAAAATTATAAAATGGAACTCACAAAAATATTCAAGATATCGACAAACTTTTCGCCAGAAGGGGAACAATTACTTATTTCCTTATACATGAAATATAAAAATAAGAAATTGTATTTTCAATTTGCTCCAAAATATTTTCTGTGTTCTTTGAGAATCTAAACCGACAGAAAAAATCTTCATGGCCTAGTTCTTCAAAATGATTTGTTCTGTGCCTGATTCTTGGTCTGCCAGCCTCCTCATCACTGCCAAAAGCATTTATATCATATAAATCCATATCTGATTAATTAATAATTTACGTGTCTGTCTGTCACAAAAAAACGAAATTCGAAATTAGGTTAGGATATCCTGGGCAAGCTCTAAACCACCGCTTTTACTTTGGGTTAAAAATTCTGTAGGTTAACCATATCCCGAGCTGTTGATCTTGTGAAACCTACATTTCATGGTAACCGCTGGTTATCTCTAAACCGCAAGGTAACTTTACTTTGTGAAACCGGCCGTAAGCAATTTCTAGTTAAGACACCATCGTAGTTTGACAACTACAATGATCTCTTAACTAGACATTGGGAATTGTTAGGTTGTTTTCCCTTTCTTGATCGCTAAAACTATCATTTCTTATTTCTTGATTGTTCCTCAATACTTACACCACTTTTATATCTTTTTTCTTTTAGATATGGCCTCTAGTAATTACTTTCTCCTGTGACTTAACAACAAAAGAAGCCCAAAAGATACCACAACGTTGTTTGAAAATGGAGAAAAAATTGATAGTCACACCGGAAGAGCTGGCTGCATTAAGAAGTTTTGAAAATAGAGCTCTTGTACACGTTCCTAAATTTACTGCAGCAGGTTTTTTTGAAATCAACAGAGTTACATTACTTACATTTATTAGTAATTTGGCCACCTACTTTGTGGTGTTAATGCAGTTGAATTCTATGTTTAACAAGTAGATTTGAAATAGTGTGTGCACAACCAAATAATGTTTGTCCATAATTTGTAGTTTTGTAATAGAAATATGTGGTACGTTTTCTGTGTTTTACATAAATCCGTTTTCAAATCCATTTTCAAGTGTCTCAAATTGTCTCAATAAAAGAGATGACGGCATCTGGTTACCTTCGCGAAGCCAAATACCTTACCATCACAATCAAATCCAATAAAAAAACACCTCACTAGTCCTCCATCCCAGTCCAGTTCCAGAAAACACTGATTATTTAAAACTCAAGATCTACCCGGATCAAAATTCGAGTCCCTTACAGTTAACTCTCCCAATAAATCCGCCACACTTACAACCACTTACACATTCAAAATCAACACACCTTCGCTAAAAAAACACCTTATATCTCATATCGAAGATGATAACACAACTACACACAATATGAACTGTGACAGAAACAATACCTACAGGACCTTCACCCCCAACCTTACAAAAATCAACTCAAACAATCGATACGAACCATCCCCTACAGCCATCACACACGCAATTACACAAGACAACCCAACCCATCAAACATTTGCCCATCAGACAAAACAGCACTCTTCAACATATTCCAACCCCTAAATATCCACTAATTCCAGACAAAACTAAGAAACAACATCGGCGATAACATAATCACCATTGGCCGCAGATATTTCAATAACACCCCACAAAAATAAAACAATAAACAAAATGACAGGCGTAACCAAAAACCATGGATTAAATATGTAAACACCCATGGGAAAATGAACATAACGTTCAAAGGAAATATGCAGTTACTAAACTACTCATAAATGAATGTCAACCTGCTGAGTCATCGAGCATCTTTTCAAATTATGCATTTTCAAAATTTCGGATTTTTTAAAAAAGCAATTACAAGGACACTCACCTTTAAATGATTCATTAAATCACATTTTCGAATGTACCGTGCTCCGCATAAATTACAACCATGTGGCCGGTCTGTTTGGTGTGCCACCATATGGTTCATTAAATTGGCCTTTTTCCTAAACCTCCTGTTACAAAATTCACATGGATGGGGCCGTGCGGCTGAATACTCATCTTGGTCGGTGGTCAGCGGTATGTCGAGGTATTCTTCGCTTACTTCTTCAATTCCAACTCCTTCGTGAGAACCATCAACTGAAAATGAAAAGAAACAAATATATAATTAAATAAATAAATAAATTATTAAATAATATAAAAAACAGCGATGGTGTATTCTTTTATATGAGTTTGATAAATTTTGAAGAGGAGACTGTTTAAGCTGGTATGACACAATGTTAAAATTTATATACTTTTTAGGTTTACATAAACTGTAAACTTTGTATTTTAATGATATCTAGTTAAAATTTCCAAAGAAAGCAGTAATTTTTTCATAACTGTACTTATATGAATCCACGTCATAACTTACGTGGTAATGTGCCTAAAAATTGGTATTATGTAATAATTTTTGAACTTAGGTACAAAATAACTACGTTAAATGATTTACTATCCAAAAATTTCTATTTTAAGCAAATGTTCGTTATCCATACTGCTTCGTAGTACCACAATAATTAAGCGAAACTGCCTGCAATGGGCAGGACATGTAGCCTGGGCCCCTGAATCGAACATGATAAAAAAGATTCTAACAGCGCAAACCGTGGGAATGAGAAGACGGGGTAAACCAAAACTGAGGTGGATGGACGGGGTAACACAAGATGCCGAGAAGATGGGACTCGTCAACTGGAAAATGCAAGCAAGGGACAGAACAGAATGGCGTAGAAAGCTTGAGAAGGTTGAGGCCCTCTAAGGGTTGTAGCGCCAAGATGATGATCGTTATCCATACTGCCGTAATTTTTAAATTAACTTTACCTAAAGGTAAAATTACAATTAAAAGCTGCAAACAAGGCAGATAATTAGCGTATGGTGGGAACCTGGGAACTCTTACAAGTACAATGAGTTTTGTGCAGTGGAGAGTGTGGTGCTTGAAAGTATTTTCGAAGAAGAGTTAATCAGTGAGATGGAGGCAAAGGATAAATACAGTGCAAGATTCTTTAAACTGACCCTGTATGGTGACAGAACAGGTTTAGTAAGTTTAGAGTCACCAAATCTAAAGGTAAGCGCAAATTTAAATTCCTTCCAATTGAGTTCAAAAATTATTCACAGTTTGCAGTCTAGGTTTGGGAGAGAGGATCTCCAGATTGAAGTTTACATTAGAGAGCCCTTAAAGTCAATTTTGAGTCGAGTTTCTAGTAGCCCTTGTAATATGTCTGCTCTTTATGATATGATTAAGAGTCAACTTCGTTCACTTGAGATCTTAGACAAAACTGCTGACTAGCTGGCAGCGATATTGTATCCTCTTATTGAGTCATGTCTGCCAGAAGATATGATTCGACTATGGCATCTTATGTTTCTGTGTCCATGGAAAATATCGGAGAAACTGCAGAAGTTACAACTTTAGAAACAAGATTGAGTGGGCTAATGAGCTTTTTACAGAGTGAAGTTCAAAATAAATAACAAATTGATTGGCAACGGAAGGTTTTCATTAACACCGGCTAAAAATAAATAGAAATTCAATAGCCTTGTTGCGAAGCAAAATGTAAAATTACAAAAAACTGATCAGCCCTTAGCGTCCACTGCTGGGTTAATAAATTATGAGGTTTACAGGTATATATTTTTATCATAACTAATTTTTTTATACTTGAACTTTAATTTTTTAATTTAATTAGGAAACAAGACTAATACACACTATTTAAAATGTTTATAAAACTAAAAAACAACACTCAAAATCAAAACAGCATCTTAACTTCAAAGGTAAATGAACAACAACACGATAGAAAAATAAAAAAATTATATCGAAATATCCAATCCAACCGATTCTACCGATCGTATATTATATTATAGGTCCCAGTACTTGGTTTCATTGACAACAATGTCGCTGTTCAGAGAATTAAATTTCGAGAAAATCGAAATATTAGAATATGATGCACATGCTGCCATCTACTCAAAGAATTGTTAAACATTAGTTTATCTGAATGCCACTCCTTTTAACTGCGGCGTGAACATACCCCCTTAGAATAACTGATTAAAACACCAAAAATAGTGTGATTTCTTTCTTAGGCTAGATTAAAGTCAAAACAAACTTTTAGAATCATTTGTATGATTTATATGCAGAAATATTGCTAGTGATTACTGAAATAAATGTATGTATCATATGTTTCCTTACTAAATCCATAGATTTAAGACTATAAAAGAAAAACAGTGTGAAACTTACCAATTTCTTCAGCGCAAGTAATGATATCTTCAGTCATTTGACAGTCCAATAACTGTTCTGACTGGTTATTTACCACAAGGACATTTTCGTCTAGGTACATGAGATTATCAACATTGTCCTCTTGTATTTCCTGAAAAATAAAAATTAAATAGAAACTAATGACATTACCAAAACAAACATGGTTAGAATAATAATTTATTAATTAGAAGCTCTCCTACAATATTCCAAAAATCCAAAATTTATATGTTCTTAGGGCATCCCACAACCTTTTTAAAACTTAAAACAAAAATGTGATTGTTTCACTCCTTAGTTAGCTTGTATTTGTCGTGCATATCACCTTCTAGCTTTTTTTTATAAACATTTGAATTGCATCTCAAAATGTTTGAACGAGAATAAACAAAATCTAATTGTTTATTTACATAGCCTAATTTGCCTTGGTTAAACCACACCTTTCTTTTTAAATTGTTCTCTCGGTACATCTTAAAAGTTGCTATAAGCACTTAGTGATTTGCGTTTTAGACCGTCAAATGAGAATAAGCACAATCATTGTCGTTTACATTGCCAGATGCCTCTAAGCAAAGCCAGGCGAGGGAATTTTTACCGGCGAAAGAATAGGAGGATTTCCATTTTAGATCTTGAGCGAATCAGGTCCAATTAAACAAGTCAAATCGATGTTTGGTTGTTTGAATACATCGTTGACAATCAAGTGTATCTTTGGCAATTTTTGTGATTTAATTTTAAGAAATCTGTTATGTTTTCCTTTTTGTGCTGCCCCTCAGATTCCATGGATTCCTATTTTGGTCCAGAACCAGTCCTGGGATGCTCTTCACCCAGTTATTCCTTGTTGGAAGTATCAGCATATATTGTAGTCAGTGGATATAACTAAAAAACCCAAAATTCACTGTGAGTTTTTGTTATTGTACTCCCGATAGTTGTGCTATTGTTACAACCATAATTGAGGGAAACCAATATGAACATTTGAAGGAAGCTGCATTTGAGAATGAACAATGTTGTGTTCTTTCAGGATCATAACAGTAAACCTATGACTAATCAACTATAATAATTTATAAGCATATTTGGTATATTGTGGCGATAATCGATTTCCGAAATAGAAAATGAAACATCAAAAATAAACTAATTCCTAACTATTCCCAATAAAAATAGTAATACAGGGAAGTAAGATATTCCGCAGTATATATAATAGAATAGAATATTTATTAGAATATTAAACACCAAAGAAACATGAGAAGTTATATGTCAATGCAAAACAAGATAAAAATAATATAGATATATCGAAATAGTAGACAGATGCTTTTATTTTTACTTACTTGGGTTTCTTGAATGTCAGGTATGCATTCATCATCAACTAACTCAATCACCTCATGTTTCAACTCAGTTACAATTTCCTCTGTAACAGTTTCTTCTTGAAGATCTGTAAATTCTTCACTTTCAGATGGAAGGATCTCATTCTCTATGCCACAAATAACCTCTTCTGTTTGAACTACTGTGGATGAGTCCTCCCATGTTAAACTAAATGGTTCATCCATTTTGTGTTAGGTTATTTGGATCATCTTTTTAACTAAAATAAAAATACATTAAATGATTATTAGATAATTAAGAAAAAAAGTGGCATTGGATCAAAAATCCTACTTGGTTCTAAGAAATTAAGTCTCTTCTAACTTACTCAATTCATTTTATTTATTAAATAGACAAAATCACCCCATTACAGCATTATAATAACAATATATTTTTTAATATAATTTATCTTATAACTACACTCTAAAATTCAATACTTAGAAATAATTCTAGAGTGCACTATAAATCATGGAATTTAAACAAGGAGAAGCACATATTAATAACATCATATTAATTTTAACAGCTTTTTGGATTGTGATAAAAATGTGCTGATGTAGTAGTTTCCTAATATTAATAACTTGCAACAAATAAATAATATTCTTAATTGTATGAATAGATTTTTAGATTTTGCTCTGACTAATATAGATGTTTGTACTGTGGCTGTACTGTTTATACTGTCAATTAGTGGCTGAAGATTTTTATCATCCCACTCTCATCTTCAGTATCAGAGTAAGTGAAATGGCTGATTTACCAGGCAATAAAAAGGTATATACATACAACTATGTTTTCAGTTTAACTGATCCTCAAAATGCTTGTAATGTTTTTTATAGTTTTATAATAAAGCCAAAAAAAGGGCCAGCAACTCTACTTCCAGGTTTCCAAACTGGTTCTCTCAAGATTTGATCCATAAAATTAAAAAGAAAAACAGTCTGCATCATTTATGTTTAAATAAAGCCTCAATGAGCTCAAAGAGTGTTAAATTTCAGCCTTAAAGAACTGATATTAAAAACAAAACCAAATATGAGCATAACTTATACAAATGTTCACTTGAAAACCATCTACTTGCTGACCCAAACAAATTCTGGACTTCCTTTAAGTCAAAATATAAGGATAGTGGAATTCCCATATAAATGACATTAAACAACTTCAAGTTTAATACACCTTTTGATATTGCGAGTGCCTTTGCTAAATATTTTGCATCAGTGTATGATACATCTGACTGCACAAATTGTTATTCTCAAAGTACTGAGTGGGGTTCTTTTACCTTTAAATATATCACAGAATTAATGTTGTAAATAGTATTAAAAAACTTATAACCCAAAAATATTTTAAAAGTGCCAACAATTTCTCCAATACACAAAAAAGATAAAAAAATGACATTCAAAACTACAGGCCTATCAGCTTGTTAAATAGTATTGCTAAGATTTTTGAAAGTATTCTTTATGTTGATATATATGAGCATGTTAAGAATAAAATCAGCAAATTCCAGCATGGTTTTGTAAGAGACAAATCAACAGTAACTAATCTCTGTGCTCTTTCTGAACATATTGCTAAGGTTATTGAGCCAGGCGAACAGTTGGACATTCAGTATACTGATTGTGAAAAAGCATTTGATATGGTAAATCACTGTATTCTTTTAAATAAACTGGTACAGTAAAAGTAGGTAATTGCTTTTCTCACCAATATGTGTCATCTTCAGGAGTTCCACAGGGAGCAAACTAGGACCATTGCTCTTTATTTTATTTATTAATGACTTGCCAGACTGTATTAAATCTTGGAACAGCTTAATGTATGCTGAACTTTTTAAAACAATCTCTAATAAGAAAGATGCAGTCAAATTGCAAGATGATCTAACATCAGTTAACCAATGGTTTAATGATTAAAAATGACTCTTAATGTTAAAAAGTGTGCAGTAGTTTTATATACGCGAAAACTCAATAATGTTATTGAAGATTATTATATTAATGATGATCGAGTTGAGAGAGTGAGTGGTTATGAAGGATCTTAAAGTTCAATTCCAAACCAACATACAGGGTGATTTTAGACTCAATTCCGTTGCAGTCTCTTGTAACTAGAAGAAACAGTCAGGTTTAATTGAGTTTATTTACTTAAGAGTAGCCAAGAGTAGGTTAAGGATAACTAACCTAGATCTATTCTTTACAAATTACTATAGAAACTTATCACCAATAAACAATGTGTTAAAAAATTGTAGTGAAGTATTTAATGGACTGACTCATGTGGATATATTTAATGTAAAAAGCAGTGAACATAAGACATTGCTTGCTCATCAGCAATAGGTTTAAGGTGTTTATTGTATTTTTTTGTCTTAAACACTTTTCATGTAATTACTACTAGTCTATAGTGTTTGTAAGGTGTCTAAATAAATAAATAAAAATAAATAATTTGTTTATTGATTACATTTATCTATATCACTCAAAAAATTTAATCTAAAATTAACATACTGAACTTCACAAATTAAACAGAGTTTTGGTACTTCAATTCAATGCAAATTACTATTCAATGCACTACAAATACAATGGAAATACAGCAAATTGTATGCCTCATTATATGTTCCCAATATATAAATTTTAGAAGGTTAACCAAACAATTGTGTTGTTAATCTACACAAACTCACTAAAAAATGATAAACTTTTATTTGGTTCTATCCCATCACTAAAGGAGAACAACTGGGACTAACATTTAATAAAACATACTGGGTTACAGGACAAAAATCAAATAAAATTTTTGTTAATGGTACAGAGATTTTAGAACAATTCTGTGAGATACAATATCAATATTCTGTGTTTAGAGACAAAGAATCAATACAAAAAAAATTGAAATAATATGGAATAATTTCTGAAACAGTAAGTAGCTATTTCTATTTGTTACTAAAGCAAAAGATTTGAAAAAAAATGCTGTGTACAACAAAAACCTCATATATGGCCTCATTCAAGATATGGACTGGACAAAGCTGGAGGGATGCTTGGATGTGGATGTATGTATGCAGTTGTTTTATGGAAAGGTGTATGCACGCATTGATCAGTCAGTACCCAAAAAACAGTTGAGGAATGTATTAAGAACAACAAATAGATATTCTACTTTCTTTACTTCAGAACTTATAGGCATTGAAGATTAAATGTAAGAATCATCTTCATAGACAGGTAAATAAATCTGCAAATGCTTTGGTTTTGGCTGAATATAAATCACTCAGATGAGAGGTGAAACAGCTTAGTAAGAAAGCATATAGGTGTCACAATGAAAATATTGAGAATATTGTACAAACTGACCCTAGTAGTTTCTGGTCCTTTATAAAATTCCGCAAAATATAAATAATACAATTTCAATAGGGGTGTGGACATAAGTGGCTGTCAGGATATTGCCAATGTTTTTGCAGAATACTTTGGCTCTGTATTTCAAAGAGCAAATAGTCTCAATAGTACACTGAGTAAGGGGTGCTTTTACTTTTTAAAAATAACAGTTGAGAATGTTCTCCAAATCATTAAAAGACTAATACTAAAAAAAGCCACACATAATGACAATATACCAGCATACATTTTTAAAAGTAAATTTCTAGATAGCTTAAAGCATGCAGTTATAACACCTATATTTAAATCTGGTAATGCTGGTAGTGTTGAGAACTATAGGCCTATATCTGTCATCAATTCAATTGCTGAGATATTCGAGAATGTGCTTTATAACAATATTTGGAATTACTTTGGAGATAGGTTCTGTCCAGAAACAACATGTTTTTTATCAGGGAAGTCCACTGTGTCACATTTGTGTTTCTTTTACAAATTTTGCAGCAGATGCGATAAATAATAAAACTCAGCTAGATGTCGTTTTAACTAATTGTACCAAAGCTTTTGATAAGATTGATCACTCTATACTTATTGAAAAGCTAAGCAAATTTGATTTTGATTCAGCAGCATGTATGTTTATGAGGTCATACCTTTCTTATAGGTTAAATCAAGTTAAAGTGAGGAACAGTTTATCTAAGCCATTTATGTTGACATCAGGTATGCCACAAGGTAGCAACTTGGGTCCTCTTCTGTTCACTAGATTTATTAACGATTTGCCTCACTGTGTAAAGTTTTCAACAAGCCTGCTATTTGCATATCATTTTAAGATTCTTCAAGAAATTTCAACTCTGCAGGACTGCAGGGTGCAATGTGATCTGAACTTAGTAAGTCAATGGTTCAATGATAACAAAATGTTTCTAAACACTTCTAAATGTCATGTTTTTACTATCACTTGAAAAACACAATACATGGAGAACCAATACAAAAATTCTAGCACTGTACTTGAAAGAAAAAACACTTGCAAATATCTTGGAGTAATGTTTCAGCAAAATTTGGGATTTAATGAACATTATCGGATCATCATTAGATAGGCAATTGGCTTCATAATTTGTAATCCAAAATTGTTTAAAATATTTGAAACTCTAATTTCATTATACAATGCACTGGTAAGATCTCCCTCCAAGTATGCCTCTATTATATTATATGGGCATCATAAGCCAAATTCAATGTTGATCTGATTGAAAAGGTTCAAAAACGATTCTTGAGGTTTCTTTACTTCAGAAAGTTTAGTATCTATCTATACATGATTTCCTATAATACTATGTTAACTTGTTTTAAAGATCAGCGACTGGATAATAGAAGAAATTTTCATTCAGCCCTTTTTATTTACTATGTTGTAAATCACATTAAATATAAAGATTGCTTTTTTATAAATAATATTGTTCTCAACTAATAAGACTGATTGTTCACCCATAAATAAGATAGAAGAATGTAACTATGTGATGATTAACTGTGATATAGATTTTTTAAATTCTTCTGTGAAACAAATAAAAGTTGCCTTTTAAACAAAATTCTAGTCTGCAAAAGTTGTTGTCTTAAAATTTAATTTAGATGTGCAGTGTTTTTTACTTGTTTTATTCTGACTAAGATTAGTTTTTAATATAGTTATTACTTTTTAGCAGTAGTAAGCACTCTTTTAATGTAATAACAATCATTTTGTGTTTTAATGGAGGTTAAATAAATAAATAATAAAGGGAAGCAGTATCTGACCAAATACAACATAGTAAATTTAATATGAAAATCATTGAATTGATGAGACTAAAGTAGTTTAAATTTATAACATAACATTTAAATTTATATCATAAATAACAAAAAACAAAAAGTATTTCCAAATTCAGGGTACCTACTGTTATCAAAAATGTGCCAAAATGAGCTAGATAAAATTTTTATAAAACCAAGGTATATAAAAGAAAAAGTTGCACCACTCCTTGTGAAAATTACATATCATCAAAAAGTAAGTAATTCTACTAAAACTAAAGATGCCCAACAACAGGTTATCAACAATGATAATTTACAGGGATACTACTATAGGATTGAATACCAAACCATATAAATCTAGCAGGTATCATTTTAAATAAAAAAAAGAAGTAATAAAACTGATATCTGAAAAGCAAATATATCCAGTTTTAAACTTGATATGGCAATGAAACAATTTAATGAGTTGTCTTGTGATAATTCATCTAATATGCATAAATAAAGATGCAATTATTTAGAATCATTTAAATGCAGATAGTACTGATGTATGTGAGCAGATACAAAGCCAAATATGCAACTAATTGTGCAATACAACTATCTTAACTCATAAAAATGTCAAAATAAACAAAAACTCTGTTATTTTAAAAATTATTGGACTAGAGTTCACAGAAATCAATCAATATGACCATGAGAACAAAGGACTGCACCTTATGCTTCATTATTTTGCACTAAACATTTAAATTATATGATAACTGGAAAATAGTTTAAAGCCTTCCATAAACTAGTACTAATCCAATAAAAGCTAAAAATAGTTCATTTTTTGTATTTGCCTCAAGCCAATGGCATAACTTTGCAAACGAAAGCACGATGTACACACCCTTGGAATTAATTTTTGACCCCATTTTTTAAAAAACTACTTTAGTTAAAGAGTAATAAAAATGTAATTACTGTGTAACACTAATAAATAATAACAAAAATGGATTCATCCAGATTTTAGGTTATCGATATTTTGACAAGTAGAGGTTATACTAAAGTTGAGGTTAGTAAAGTTTACAAATTTTGAGAAATGTAAACAAAAAAACAGTAGCCGATTATTTCAATAATTTTATGTAAACGAATGGATCACTACAGGTCAAATGCGAGCATTTTTATTTTTGAAGTTGTTACGCACCTTAAACCTCCATTGCACATAAAGAAATGATACATAATTACATCATAATAAAATATAATTTGAACTAACAGCTTTATAGTGTATTTGCATTGGAAAAAAGAAATCACTGCAATATAAGATTTAATTTATTAACTAAATTAGGTACTTACTTGTAAAAATTCCTATAATTTTTGACAACCTAACCAAGCTTTATGAAAAGCTAAACGTCGACCTTCGTTTCACTGCTGGCAAATGGCCGCTTGTCTATAGAACTTCTCGTTTGGTTTATACAAAATGTCACAATTTGAAATTTACTAACGGGTAAGTAAAAAGTAATTTAATTTTTTAAAACTGGTAAACAGAGTTACACATTAAATAACATAATATTTTTAGTTTTGATATACAAGTGAAAATAGGTTAGCGGATAAATAACCTACAACTGCTCAGCGACCGCCAAAACAAAAGATCACTTCCGTTAGATGTCGCGGGATATTCAAAAGCAGGATGAGTACGTTTGGCGGGAAAATTCAAGAAATTGAGACCATTAGCATCGATCGATTTACTGGAGAAAATTTGTGTTCAGAAGCATTCTTTTTGTCTCATTGTCACACTGATCATATGGAAGGTATTTTCAGAGATGAGTTTAAAAATCAGTTAAAAGATAATAATAAAATCTTGTATGCCTCCCAAATATCATGTAAAATTTTAGAACAAATGGAAGTTTGTTCTAAATGTCACCTAATGGCGTTAGAGTTAATGGTACCTACAACAATTTATTTAAAAGATGCTCAATTCACTGTAACTTTAATACCCGCAGGGCATTGTCCTGGATCTGTAATGTTCCTTTTTGAAAGTAATAAAAGAATTCTGTATACAGGGGATTATAGAATTAGAAAGAGTGATATCAGAAAGTTTAACTGTTTTTTTGACAAGGAGGGAAAAATAAAAGTAATTGATAAAATATATTTAGACACGACTTTTTTTCACAAAAAATTTTTTAGTTTTCCTAGAAGAGAGGAAAGTCTTAGAGAAATTTGCGAAATTATCGAAGATTGGATAAACAAGGGCAAAGATTTCCATATATATCTTGATACAAGTGCTAAATATGGATACGAATATCTTTTTAAAGAAATTTATATGAAAATAGGCATGCCAATCCACGTTAATTACAATGCCAATAAACTGTACTCACTTGTACCAGAAATGGACTGTGCAGTAACTTTAAATAGTGATATAACTCAATTACATTCACATTGTTTCGGCTGGAAGCAAACCTGTTATTTTAATGATAGCAATTTAAAAACTATTAGGGTATCAGCTCTAAGGTGGGAACAAGAAGAATTAGCTCTAGGCATATCAGAATATAAATCTGGAATTCACTACGTTTGTTACTCTACCCACGCTTCGTATGAAGAAGGTATAGAATTAATTAGGTTTCTTAGACCAAATGCAATAGAAGTATGTGTAAAGCATCAGGATCCTCAATTAAATAGAGAAATGTCTGACGAAATTGATGAGCTTGTGAAAGAATTTCATGTAGAAAAAAGAACTAAAATAATGCCGAAATTATTTAACACTGAAAGGAATAGAAAAAAATTAAAAAGTACTAAACGGCGTTCTACTTCTCAAATATTAAATTCACCTCCCAGAACGTCATCTGTACAAGGCTGTGAAATTAAATCAGAGAATATTTCCTATCAAGTTAGTGCCTCTGGAGAAAAATGTATTATCGAGTCTACATCTAAAGAGGAATTTTTATCTGTAGCTTTGTTCGAAATAGATAAGCAAGACAATAATAATTTAAGTTTGCCTTTAGAACATATTGCTTCATCGCCTGAAACAGATTTGTCAGTGAAAAGAAGTATAGATACAGTAGATGAAGCAGAAATAATGAATGTGTTAAAACCTTTAAAGCAAAAGGAAGAAGTTGAAGACAGCGTTTTATTTAACCTAATATTTACTCCACCAGAAACAAGCACTACCAGTGAAGGTGTAAAAGATTTAGAAGTAGATAAAATGACTGACAATCTTAAAGAAGAAGAAGAAGATAGTGTGATTTTAAAAATAATTAATTCCTCTCACGATTCTGAAAGGTAACATTACATAACTTATGGACAATAATTACAGGTAAGCAAAAAAAGAGAGGCAAAATTAAGTTCTTTTGTTTTATCATGCTTTATTAAGTAAACATCAATATTGAAGAATAAAATTCATATTGTTAATGAAGAAAAAAAGTATTATACTTACTTTATCTGTTTGCAACTGTCAGCTCATTAAAAATGCAAACCTTTCTTCTTCTTAAGGTGTCCTCTCCATTACTGAAGGTTTGCTATAACTACAGCAAATTGCTCTCTATCTTGAGCATTTTCTTCTTCTTTTACCTCTTCTTCCTTCCACTTTCCCTTCCATTATAAGTCGTAGGAAGTTGTATTTTTCTCCTCTGTAAGTATGTCCTAGATAATTCATTTTTCTGTTTTTTACAATATTTAGGAGTTCTCTCTAACCCATTCAGTACCAGAATGGCTACTTCTAACCCATTCAGTACCAGAATGGGTACTTCTAACCCATTCAGTACCAGAATGGGTACTGAATGGGTATTCAGTACCCATTCTTCATAGCACCTCGTTGTTGGTCATGTGCTCTGTCCAAGAGATCTTCAGCATCCTTCGAAAAACCCACATCTCAAAGGCTTCTATACGCCTCATACTTCCGTAATTCCGAGAGTCCATGTTTCCACTCCGTATAGCAATATGGAATAAATAAACGTTTTTACAAATTGGTATCGGTCTTAAGTGACTCACTAAGCGCCCTTCAAACCCTTAAACAGATCTATCCTAAAGGTCCCCTTGAGAAACTGATAAAACTAGAACTTATGCAAGCTCAAGAAAATTCTAGGAGTATCAGATTTATATGGATTCCATCCCACATTGGCATTGCTGGCAACGAAAGTGCGGACCAGTGCGCGAGTAAAATTGCTAAATGTGCCAATATAGAAAAAGCCGAGTATCGAAATACCGCGAGTGATATAAAAGCCTTTATAAAGAATCGAGTTTTGTGCAAGTGGAAAAACGAATGGCAATCTTCTCAAACATCACTGAAGCAAATTAAAAATGACGTTGCAGCTTGGAAACCCTCAACAAGGAACAGAAGAGAACAATTGGTGATAACGAGATTACGAATTGGACACACGAGACTTACTCACTCATACTTATTTACCAAAAGTGATCCACCTATTTGCGAAACATGTAATGTACAATTAACCATTAACCATTTATTAATTGAATGCCATAGATTTGCCAATTTTCGTGTTACATTTAACATACCTAAGAGTTTAAGTAATTTATTAGGCACTAATTTCTCAGCTAGTAATATTGTAAAGTTCTTAAAATACATAGGACTATTTTATAAACTCTAATTTTGTAATTCTGTAGCCGCCGCTAATAACCATTATGGTGAATGCGGCTGTAATTTCTAAATAAAAAAATATTGGTATCGGATATCCAACGATAACGTAGAGTTTATCAGGAATTTTTTCGTTCGTTGAAATGCTGACGTAGCATATTCTATACGAGCACGTATTTCGACCTCGTGGTCAAGATCGTTTGTTATCCAGCAAAAAAGATACTGGAATCTTTGTACTGGTTCTATATATTTGTTATAGATACGAATATTAATGTCGACATTTGGTGCACGTGTAACATCCATTACCTTTGTTTTATTTGTGTTTATATTTAGTCCCAAGCTATCCCCCTCTCTGGTTATGACATTCAAAAGTCCTTGTAAACCCTCAGCACTGTCCGCAATAATGACAGTGTCGTCTGCGTTTCTTAAGTTGTTTACGTATTCTCCGTTGATTTTTATTCCTTCAATATTTTCGAGGGCATTTTAAAAGATCTTTTCGGAATATATATTAAATATCAGTGGAGTAGGCCTACACAGCCCTGACGAACTCCTCTTTTTATTGGCAATTCTGCTGTCAAACGATTGTGTATTTTGGTAGACGCCATTTGATCCCAATCTAGTTTTTTAATAAGTGCTACAGTGTTATGGTCTATACCATGTTGTGTTAGGGTTTCTATGAGTTCTGTGTGTTTTACTTGATCAAACGCTTTTTCGTAGTCGATAAAACAGAGAAACACGTCTTTTCGCTGATCTCGGGATTTTTGTAGTAATATCTGGAGGCCAAATAATGCCTCCCTTGTACCAAGCCCCATACGAAATCCAAATTGATTGTCGCTCAGGTTTCGTTGATGTACAATTTTGAGTAAAATTTTCAGAAAATGGCTTATCAGGCTAATTAATTTGAACTATGAGCATCTATTTGCTTTATTTTTCTTAGGTATAGGTATAAATGTCGATCTAAGCCAGTCTTCTGGGAAGATTCCAGTGGTATATATTTTGTTAAATAATATTGTTAACGTCTGAAGATTTTCTTCATTGATAAGCTTTATCTCTCTCTTCAATCCTGACCCCCCAGGGGGAGTGTAGTGGTCGACGTGATGTCGTGTATTGTCCGTCTCCAGAGATCTCTGTCTCTGGTCATTTCTTTTAATTCATGCATAGGTCTTTGGCATATTCCTATAATTTGATCTATCCATCTTGTTGGGGATCTTCCTCGTGATCTTCGGCCTTCTAACTTTCCTTGTATTATGAGTCTTTCCATGTTTTCTGTGTTTGCTCTCATAACATGCCCAAAATATTTTTAATTGTTGGAGATGGACTTTACTAGAGAGTCGTTGGCTACCTTTTAGCTCTCTTAAAATTGAATTATTTGTTCTACGGTCGGTCCAAGGAATTCGTAACATTCGTCTCCAACAGAACATTTCAGTGGCGTCTATCTTTCTTCTCTCCGATTGTCTCAGAGTCCAAGATTCACATCCGTAAGTCAGTATTGGGAATATTAAGCAGTTGATCAACCTCATCTTTATCGCTCTTGAAATTTGACAGTCCTTCCATATTTTGGTCATTTTTGCTGTGGCAACTTTTGCTAGATCACTTCTACGTTTAATCTCTTCTTGTAATGACCCTGTGTTTGTGATTAATGATCTCAGATATAAGTATGAGCTCACAACCTCGAACCGGTCAATTGTGGTTATGTGTGGATGATTGTTGTGTAGTCTATCCACTATCATGATCTTTGTCTTTGATATGTTTAATTGCAGACCAAATATTTGACTTTCGTTTTCGATCAGTCGTATAAGTTCTATCAGCTCTGCTTGACTATTTGCAAGAAGGGCTGTGTCATCTGCGAAACGTAGGTTGTTTAGTTTATGACCATTATTTATTGAGATGCCCTTTTCCCATCCTTCAAGTGCTCTTCGCATAATATACTCCCCATATATGTTGAATAATTGTGGAGATCGTATACATCCTTGTCTGACACCCCGTTCTGGATGAAACTTGTTCGAAAGAGTGTCAAGCTTTATCATCTCTACGTATATTTCATCTGGACCTGAGGCTTTTCGTGGCTTTGCCGTATTGATTATTTTTGTAACTTCCAATGTTAATACGAGTATATCAAGTATTGTTTCTTGTACTAACTGTACAAGATTGTACTAACAGTCTTTAACATATTCTATTTCTTTATATGTTTGTAACTGTTGTGGACTGCACTTTTTGTAAAATTTTAATAGATGAAAAAAGGTCTTGTACCATAACCTAATAATCTTCCGAGACCAATATTGTATTATAAATATTTGAAAATAAATGACTACAAATGATTGTGATACTGGGATGAATTCTTTTTATCCAAAGACTTTTATTATTTTGCGTTTTTATTATATCAGTAGTATATACATGTTGTACAGCATTGCATACAATGGGTGATCAAAAAGTTCCAGAACCAATACTTTGAAACTTACAATACCGAAAATATTACAAATATTTTATTATTCTTCTCTTCACAATATTGAGCGATTTTTTAAACGTTTAAAAGTGTAAAAGTCCGTAAGAGCAATGTCTGGTGAGTAGGGAGCTTGTGCGAAACATTGTGCAGAATTCGTGAATGATCAACACTGAATGAACTGATGGATTGTCGTGGTGCAGCACTCAATCACCACTTCTAACCTTTCGCACTACTGTATTTAAATTTTTCATTGTTTGAAGATAATTACTATTTTAATGGGAATTAGTCACAAACATTAATGTTTGTATTTTGAGGGCGAAGTTGAAATTGAAACGTCAATCAACTTAATTACTATTAAACTGGGAATAAGCCACAATTAAAGATAAAAATACGTTTATTGACGTTTCAATTTCCACTTCGGAAATCGTTCTCAAAATACAAACAGTAAATTAAACAAATTTTGTTTTTTGTTACATAGTGAAAAATTCTTCTAATAATTTAATTTTATCTGACTCATTTATATTGACAATTCAGACATACATTATGCATTTTAAAGTAGACGACTTTAAAATGATATTGCCAATATTGTTGAGTTGCGCTCCTGGGACGACTTTACTTATAAGATAGTTCATTCGATACATGAAATCAACTTTAACTTGAGAATATCCGTCAGAATAAATCATTGCATGTAATTCGTCTTTAAAAAGACAAACACATGACATGATGACAGTAAAATTCTCCTGTTAGTGATTCCATAGTAAATTATGAGGGAAAACCAGGAAAAAACCTCATAATACTATCCCGACATTGTAAGTATTTGTTCGTGAATTTAGTTTACCTTCAACAAACATCAAAATTCTGATTTTATATGTTACGTTATTTAAAAAACATAAATGATGTATCCTCTATATGTTACTGACTTACTAATACTGGTATTTTCTTATTAATAACTTCTTCTTTCAATATTGGCAACCAGATCCTACTACATTCTGCCGAAGAATTTGCGACACAATTGGCCTCATTTAACATAATTAGAGCCGCTTCTTTGATTTTTTCTTTTTTTACCATCCGTTTCTTTTAGGACTACATTTGAATTACTCCATTGAACCCTATGTTCATTATCCCATGCGTGTTTACAGATTTGAGATCTATCAAATTCTTTATTTTTAATATAAGATTGATGTTCACTTATTCTAACATTTAATGGCCTTGATGATTCACCTAAATAAAACTGATCGCATTCACAAGGTATTTTATAAATGCAATTCTTTGTCCTTTCTTGTTCATTGTTAGGTTTGGTTTTGGACAAAATAGATCTCAACGTGTTTGTTGTTTTGAATGTTGTTGAAATGTTGAATTTATTTCCTATCCTTTTAAGT